AAACAGGAAAACTGGAGTGGAATTTAATTGAGATTCCATCAACAAATTATTATACAGCAAATTGCTCAAACAATGAAATTCTTAAATAAACTGCACTGGTTTCGTTATCTGACCAAACTTGACGGGAAGGAAGAGCTTAAGAGAGAGAGAGAGAGAATACGAAACTGAGAGAGAGAGAGAGAGAGAGAGAGAGAGATGGTAGTGCTCACCTTAGTAGACGATGGTGCTCGCTCCCCTCACCGGTGCAGATGGTGGAGGCGGTGGAGCTTCGAAATCTCAAAATCGAAATTGCCAATCGCTCTGAGATTGGATCTGAGATGAATCACCAATCGCTCTGAGATTAGACAAACAGGGCTGAAGATGATTGATTTGATCGGTTGAGAGAGATTAGGATTTAGAGAGGGTTGAGAGAGAGAGAGATCGAGACCCAGAGAGTGACTGAGAGAGTAACGGGGCAATGGTTTTCAATTTAATTAAGTAAGTTTTTAAATATTTTAAATAATTTTTTTTTTACTTTTTAAATTCAAGTAATTTCCATGTACTTAAAAGAAAAATATTTTTTTAATTTTTTTAAAAAATCACTAAATTTAAAAAAATATAAAATTAAATACATTTCATATATATTATATTTTATTATATTTTTTACAAATATTTTATTTTTTAGTTGTATTCAGATTAGGCACATCTAAAAAGTAAAAAATAAATAAATTATTAAAAGAAGGAAAGACATCAAATCAAGGTAATTTAAAAAAAATAATTACAAATTAATGGGAAGTCATATAAATATTAATTATTAAAATTATAAACTTTTTCATGAATATGTAATTTTTTTTTTCTCAAAATTCCACTGGGTGCAATTATCCCTTAAAGGAGACACTAAATTATAAAATAATGTATAAATTATTTTTTACGTTGTCCTCAATTAGGAAAATGTAAGGTGAGAAGCTTGGTTGGAAATTGTAAGCTTTTCTAAATCAAAAAAAAAAAAAAATTCGGATTGAAATTTTGAAGCCATATAAATATTAATTATTAAAATTATAAACTTTTTCATGAATATGTAATTTTTTTTTTCTCAAAATTCCACTGGGTGCAATTATCCCTTAAAGGAGACACTAAATTATAAAATAATGTATAAATTATTTTTTACGTTGTCCTCAATTAGGAAAATGTAAGATGAGAAGCTTGGTTGGAAATTGTAAGCTTTTCTAAATCAAAAAAAAAAAAATCGGATTGAAATCTTTTTTAATAAAAGTTTTCACGACATGCTAATGCATGCCATGTAAAGTTATAATATTTTACGACATGAAATGTATGTCGTCTTAAGTACAAATATTTTATGACATATTTTTGTATGCCGTGAAAATATACAATTTTTTACGGCATGCTTTTGCATGCCATAAAAAAAATTTCGGATTGAATTTTTTTTTTTTTGTACAAAAGTTTTCACAACACGTTAATGCATGCAGTGTAAAGTTATAATATTTTATAACATGAAATGTATGTTGTCTTAAGTGCAAATATTTTACGACATATTTTTGTAAGTCGTAAAAACATACATTTTTTACGGCATACACTACAAGAATTTACACATTTTGCGACCACTTTTACCGACTAAAAAAATTTTAGTCGCAAAAAAATGACGTTTGGCGATAAATATTAATTAGTCGCGAATGATCATTAATTTTGGCGACCAAATTTTATTGGTCGCAGAAGGTTATATTTTGGCGACCAAAAAATATGTTGGTCGCAGAAAGTGGTATACTTTTGCCGACCAACTACAAATTTGGTCGCGGAAGGTCACAAATTTTTTGGCGACAAAAAATTTGGTCGCGAAAAACTTATTTTCAGCAACAAAAAAAAATTAGTCGCCAAATTAGTATTTTTAGCGACTAATATTTTAGTCGCCATTGATTGAGATTTGGCGACTAAAAAAATTTGTCGGCAAAAGAACCTATTTTTGCGACTAATTTGAGAGTTTGGTCGCCAAGAGTTTGGGGGAAAATTTGAAACGTGGGGCGGAAATTGAATTTCAGAAAAATAATTATAGATTGGGTAATTTTCTACTTCACACACTGTTGATGCATCAATCGAACCCAGATTGGGGTAATTTGGTTTAACTCGTCTCCTCTCATTCCCTCTCTGTCTCTCTCTCCCTCTATGTTCTTCTTTCCTACCCTCCCTCTTGCGCTCGCTCCCGATGCTGGCCTCGATTTCTGCCTCTCCCCTATTCTCTCTCAGTGTCTTCAAGTCGCAATCCTCCCACTCGCAAGGTAGGGTTTCCGATTGTGAATCGCGACACGGTGCTTCGATTGGGTCACCGAAGGCTAGGGTTTCCACCACCACAGCCACCATCATCATCATCAGCTTTAGTAAATACGATGATTTTGGGTACCCAACGACATTGAAACAGGTCCCTGTTATATTTGGTGCCAAATTAGCCTGTGAGAGGCGCATAACATAACAAAGAGAGCAGCTGCGTTTGGTTTCTGTAAATTCTTCTTCCTTTCTCATGGATCTGAACCCGGTAACTTCAATCACCTCCACTGCTCTCTCTCTCTCTCTCTCTCTCTCTCTCTCTCTGTGTGTGTATGTGTGTGTGTGTACACTATCGTGTTATTTATATCAATGCACGAATTCGCGTGAATTCATTTTCTGCAAATTCATTGGATATGTATCGATCGGTGATAATTGATGGCAAATCTGGTTATGTATGCTATTTCTTATGTATTTCGATCTTCGTTTGTGATGAATTCAACGTTGTATATTACAGATCTGAATTGCATTATCATTGTCCTGTAATACATGCCTTTAATGGGAATGCAGTCTTGAAATGTTTGTGATTCAGAAAGGATTGGGATAGTAATTGATTTTTAGTTTTTTTTTTAATTTTTTTTTAACTGTGTGCAATGTCGAAAATTTGGGATTACAATTATGTTATATTGCATGAGAAATTTGAGATCGCAATGTTGAAAAACAGAAATAGCAGTGGATATGAATTTTAGGAAGTACCTAGCTTTTTCAACCTCCGCGATGGCACTTTTCTAAGTTGTTGTGAAAAAAAGAAAACAAATGGTGCTGGTTTTCCACTATGAATAGCTCCACTAGATTTGATTTGTGAACTTGTAAGTTGTATCATTATCGGCGAGTGTTTCTTTATGTTCTTTATTCAAATTCTTGTTATACTTGTAGACCGTGACTTTAGGTGGTAGTCTATGGGCATTTTCTGCAACATTCTTTTATAGGAGAGTGGAGGGTGAAAAGTTCATCAATCAGTTTCTAGATATAATCCATTTCAATTATGAGTTCCTTTTTTTTTCTTTTTTCTTTCTTTTTCTTGTAAGTACCTGCAATTAACCTTCATTTCAATTTCAATTCATTATATATGGTGCTTGTCTAGGGTTCTAACGAAATTTGAGTTCCTCTTGGTGAAAATACCATTCGAATCGAATCCAACAGCTTCTTAGTTAATGACTATGTTATATATTGTGTTTTTCAGGTTATTTGCTGATTGCATATTATTGTTGCTAAATATGTGATTTTTTAGAACAGTGGAATTGTCTTGCTAAGCTCTATAAGCAGTTATAATGGTGTTATTTTGTAAACTACTATGATGGTCCACATTTGATACGAACAAATATGTGTTTATGTACCCAAATAGTTGTGATTTTTAGAAATTTGTGCCATTTTTCAACACCAATTTTCTGTTTTTTGAAATGCAGAAAATAGAAAACAGTGAAATTTTTTCAGAAAATTGAGTTGACTAGAACCAGTTTTTCAAGGAATACGAAAAAGTTGTTTCCTTTACTCCATTTTTCAAATTGTTTTCAGTTTCTATACAGACATGTTGCAGAGAAATGATTTTTGAAAACTATTCCAAACAGGTGTAATTCTTTAGATTCTTGCCTCCTCTTCTTCTTCTTCTTCTAATGAGATTCTTGCCTGTTTGACTCTGTTGTTCACTTGTTCTTCTTGTAAAGTTAAGCAAATTGTTGAGGCTTTCTCTCATTTATGAGATGCTAATTGTTTTGAATATTCCTTCTTTGTAGATTTACTGTTTCAAATGGGTTAATCTATTTTCTTGCATAGACATTGTTACAAACACTTTGTGGGCTGATTTGACTTTGGTCTCTTGAAGGTCTCAAGGAACATTGATCTGGTCTATGGAGGAGGTAGCATAGGCCTCATGGGTTTGATTTCACAAGCTGTTCATGATGGTGGTCGGCATGTCATTGGGTGAGACTTTCTTCAATATTTTTGGCCTAAAAAATCTCAAAAAAAGACTTTTAAAGATCAATAAAGAAAGCATTGTTAAGTAGCTAAGATCAATGAGTTGGGTATGTAGTTTGCTATTGGTTTTGTTCTCTATTACAACTAATTTTTTTGTCATGTTATTGTCTCTCTGCAGAGTTATTCCCAAGACGCTCATGCCTTGAGAGGTATGTCTCTCTGCTACACCCCCAAAAAGTCTTAAGCCTTTTCTTATTTAATTGACTACTTAAATAAAAATAAAAATAAAAACCCCATTAAACTACTGACTTTTTGATGAATGAGGGTTAGGTTTAAGGCAATCCATAACTTATGAATGACATTGAGATCATATAACCTCAATGTGGATTAGATCAAGTCTTAAAAAATGGTCATTGAATGTTTTCAAAGTGTCGAAATCTAGATGATGCATAATACATAATCTTATGAAGCAGTCACAACTTTATTGTATTTTTCTAGATGCATAATACATAATCGAGTATAGACCTTAATCTTGTTTGAGAATTTTTATTTTTCAATTGACTTTATTGTATTTTTCTAGATGGATGATGATCATTATTCAGAATATGTTGTTTCTAGCATTTCAATATCTAATGATTATCTTATGAAAATCCTGATAATGGAAGGGACTCAGTTTATTGGTGTGTTTTTGTCGGGACTTCTTGTAAAAGAAGGCAACCAGGTATCAACCCTTCTCTTTACATTTTAACATTTACATGTACTTACATCAGAAAAAAGAGGAAGGAGATTTTCCTTTTGGAATTGAGGATCTGTTGTACTATGTGAAGAGAATTGAGGAACAACAATTTAATCTGGACCTTGGAGCTCTTAAACAATACTTTCCGTTCAATTTGGTCATGTCAGGGATCTTGAAAATATGCCAAGACCATTTTGGTAATTACATGATGTTTCCATTGCTTGACTTAAGTATTTTGCTTGGCTAATTCATCTACTAAGCTCTCATCTTCCTTTGCTTCATGCATATTTAAGATTTGAAGAAATTGCAGATGCTGAGGTTTGGCACTCTTTGATGTTCACCTTTATTCAGTCTATGACTTATCTTCTAATGAACTTTTGGGCTATTTCTACCTTGATATGTTCTCCAGGTTCATTTATTACTCATCGTTTTATTAATTCTAGTGGACATCAATTTATGGGTGGTTCGCATATATGATTTAGAATGAAATGAACTTACGTTGTATCTTCAAACAGGGAGGGAAAATATGGTCACACCTGTGTTGTAGCACTTCAGAATGGTTCTTTTGTCAATGGTGCACAAAAGGTGATGGTAATATGCTATTAAGTTTGAGTTTTCTAAACTTATTGTTGTTGTGATGTTGAACTCAGATTTTGGGTACCTGAAAAGCATTTTATTTTGGGATACATTCTATTTTGTTTAGTAGTGACAGGATCAAATGCATAAAACATGTTTGATTAGCATGGTAGAATTACATTTTTTTAAGCTTTCAATAGAAAAAAGGCAAAAATTTCTATTGCTGGATGTATATCTGCTTTGTGTTGGATTCCCTTACCACCATGAGAGTTTGTTTTGTACGTGAAAATTCTTCTCAAGGTTCAGTCAGGTGCCATTATGTCTCTAGTAATATAGGTGTTGGTTTTTTCGATATAAATGTTATACATGGTTGGGCAGTAGAAGACATAGTCCACAATTTCTCATATATGTTAAAAGTATCGTAAGCTGATCATAATTTTAATGTCTTACTGATTTATCGTCAATTTCTATATGTAGATTCCTATGGCATTACTTGCTTCTCAACGTCAAAAGGAAGTTGGTCGTACTATGTTGAGATTCTCTGAAGTGGTTAATCTTTTCCATGAATTTGGCCATGTGGTATGTCGATATCTGCCTTTTGAATGGTTTCTTTGGAATCAAACTCAAAATTCTATTTCCCTTCTATTTAGTGCTATTAAATTCTTACACTATTAGATATGCTTTCTAGTTTCTTGCTTGTGTGAACCATTTTTGTATTTGTCTGAATCTTATGTTTGTATGTTACCTGTTTCCTTTGATTTCTAATACATTCTTATTCTATTCCAGTTTGTTTTTCCACTGTGCCTGGTTAGCCATGATTGTTGGAAATGGGACTAAACCACCTAGTTGGTCAATGGTTTGTAAATGTCATTTTGGTTGAGTAATTTAACTATAAATGTTTCTCTATACCAATTTGCATATGAAAAACTAAAATTCATTTTCATCTAAACTTCAAATTAGCCGTGCTTGTGTTCTAGGACATTGGAACTGGAAAAATTTGACACTGGCTTCATATCCACATTCAGCACCCATACATGAGTCCATGCAACATAGGAAATAGATTTGTGTCATATTATTTAATTTTATCTTTTGACAAGTATCAAGATTGTTTATAAAGCTATGAATTCTGTTATGGTTTGATGTATGTAGTGAGTGACGTGATTTTTCATCTATGGTGAGCTTTTAGTTCCATCATATTTGCAATCGTGCGTCATTTGCTAGATTTTTGGGGCTTTGGCTTGACCCTGACTTTGTGGAGACCCAACCCAGGTGTTAGAAAACTGGTTAGTAGTTAAGCATACAGTTATTCAATTAGACAAAGCACAAACTCATGCTCCCACCTTTTGGTTTATTATCTAACAGTAATTTGGTTTCTAATTTTTTCCTATAAAAAAGAATTTATTATCTAACAGTAATTTGGTTTCTTTGGCTATCTTTTCGACCATGACTTTGAAATTTGCATTACCCTGCATCTTTTGCAGCCCGGGAATCTGCTTCTAGACTCATTTGGTTTGTAAATGTCTACAGATGGGCTTGCGGGTATGCTTATGATTGTGTTTTAATGCATAGTGTGATTAGGATGTCAGTGCACAGTACAGGATGATGCTTGTTGCTCTGATGAAACTCAGCCTATCTGGTTGCTACTTTTTGCATCCAAAATATTTGAGGTTCATTGCACTTTATCATAAAAGTAGCATAAGAGGGAAGGGGACATGGCTATTGGCAAGATTCAGTAGTAAAATTTTGATATCCCACATTACTAAACTAAAAAAATCCCCACCATCGTTGTATTTTCTGTGTTTGTTCCCTTTTGTAGCCTGCTCCCAATATTTGTTGGCCTGTTTTACTTCCTGATAATTATTTATTTTCTTTCTTTTTGATGTACAGGCGCCCAACTGCATTGCAAGATAGGACAAGGGATAGTGATGAGGATGATCTTCATGACAGAGATTTTGATGTAGCAGCTTTAGCAAATAATCTTAGCCAAGCATTTAGATACTCGATATATGATAATGAGGATGCTGAGGAGGTATTAGTGGACTCTATTGTATGTTTTTCTTACAATGCCTTTCTTTTTGTTGACAGACTCTTTAGATACTATAAATTTATCTTTGCCATTGGTTGCAGGGCAATGGGGCTCTTGATCGAGTTGATGAGGTAATAGTTTTTTCTTTTTTTTTTTTTTTCTTCACCCTTTCAAATCTATGGTCTTTTCTCCCTCTGATTCAATTGAAAAGAAACTGAAGGCTGGTTAATATGAATCTGCATTATTGAATTGGAGGCAGCATACTTTGCATAAGAACTCTTTCAGCTGTTTATTCTGTTTTATTTATTTTCTATGAAGGAAAAATTAGATTGCAATTGTTGTATTGTAATTACTTGAACAAATAATTTGTGTATCCATGTGCTTTCATATTGTTTCTAATTGCAGCTATGCATATGTTGATTACAGTCGTGAAGAACTTTCTTATATTGAAGAGTTATAGTGAACAATAGGAACTGAAGGAATGAATTGAGTGGTTGCGAAGTGTTTTCATTGTAATTCAGTGAGCTCAAGAATCTCTGTGGTTCTTTCTTGAATAATGGGTTCAAGAATTCAGATCTGTTTGCTGGTTGTTTCTGTCCAAATTTTACTTGTAGCAGCACAAACGAATAATGACTGTAAGTTCCATTCTTATGCCTAAATTGTTAATAGTTATATTATTGTTGAATGATATCTGCATATGAGAGGCTCCAATATGTGTTCTTTCTTGCTTTGATTAATACAATCAAGAATACATCCCTGCTCATCAGTTAATGCATCCTCCAAAAACACAAAGTATATGCTAGTCCTGTTTATGGTTTCTTTCTAACGCCTCATTTATTGTGGGGTTGATCGCTGATAAAGGAGAAGAAACAAAAATGAAATAAAAAATTGTGTTTTATGTTGTTTCTTATAGTGAAAATTAAAATGATCTGCACTCCACTGCTGGATGTTATCTTCTCTTGGTTTCCAAATGACACAAGATTTGAGATTCAAAGTTTGAATAAATATACATTTTTACTTTTATTTTTAGCCCCAGGTCTTTCAGCAATCAAAGGAAAGCCTTACTCAAATAGGGACTGGGTTTGAATATAGGCTGAAACATGAGTTGAAGGGTCCTAGCTATGGTCTTCTCGATTCACCACTGCGAGATTTTAAATGCATGTCCTTGACTGGGTTATAAGAAGCCATTTCTGTCTGGAGTTTTCTAATTTACCTGGGAATAATTTCCACAATGTAAGGATGTGAATCCCTTCCCACCTCTGGAATACATAGTTGCATTCCTACTATGTGTTAACTGCTTTCCGAAACTAGAAATCTTAGGTCTTATTTAGCATCAAGTTTTCAACTTGCATACTAGTTTTGGGGTCACTAGGGAGCAAGCTTTAGATGTCCCAGTTCTTTAACCGAAATATCAAATGTTCTTGATTATTCAGAAGTGGTAATCCTTGAAATAATAATTCTTGGTCAAATGAAATCTGTTAAGAGGCTGAGATCTAGAAAGCTGTTCCTCTTTTTTTGTTTTTTTTTTTGGATTTCTGGCTGCTGTTGGTTTCTCACGTCTGTATTCCTGAATCCTCATGCAAAAATTCATTTGACCAAGTTGTTTAACAATTCATTTCTGGCTGCTGTTGGGATGAAATTCATTTGACCAAGTGGCGGTCACATGAATTCATTTGGAATTCATTTGACCAAGTTTTTTTGGATTTCTGGCTGCTGCTGGGATGAAATTCGATGCAACAATTCATCACATGGTTATTTTTGCATTGCCCAAGTTGTTTAAGAAATGCCCACTGGAATTATGCACAGCACACTTGAATTATGCCACTACCAGAATTATGCACAGGTCATGTTTGATTCACAATATTAATAGTGAAGTATTAATAGTCCTAGTAAATTAGTGTGGTATTCACTATCCAATTGGATTAATATCCATTGGATTAATAATCCCACCCCTACCCCATTACTAATAATCCTACAAATTTGTTGGATTAATTATCCATTGGATTAATAATCCTAAACTAAAATGTTAAAACAAATATAGGATAATTGGGCCCACGAATTAATAATCCTAATCCCATGCCCTAATCCACCCAATCAAACATGCCCTGAATGTTTTTTTTTCTCTTGAAAGTCCAGATACAAGTTATTTAACCAATGGTTATCTAGACACTGTGATAGACTGGATACCAGGCATGAATGTCATACGATTGAAGGATCTCCCAAGTTTCATTCGAACCACCGAACCAAGCGACATTATGATCGATTTCATTTTGGACGTAGCTCACAATGCTCACAAAGCTTCAGCCATCATTTTCAACACTGTCGACGCCTTGGAGCATGATGTTTTGGAAGGACTATCTACAATGCTCCCACCCATATACACCCTTAGTCCTCTTCAGTCACTCCTTAACCAAATCCCACAAAATCACTTAAACACCATTGGATCAAGCCTCTGGAAAGAACAACATGACTGTCTTCCATGGCTTGATTCAAAAGAACCCAACTCTGTCGTTTACGTAAACTTTGGCAGCATAACTGTGATGACATCGCAACAGTTGATTGAATTCGCTTGGGGACTTGTTAATTGCAAGAAAACATTCTTGTGGGTAATTAGACCCGATTTGGTTGTCGGTGACTCGGCAATTCTTCCACCTGATTTTGTGAATGAGACCAAAGAAAGGGGTCTATTGGCTAGTTGGTGTCCTCAAGAACAAGTCCTGAATCACCCATCAGTTGGAGGGTTCTTGACACACTGTGGATGGAATTCAACTCTTGAAAGTATTTGCAGTGGAGTCCCTATGTTGTGTTGGCTTTTTTTTTGCACAGCAACAGACAAACTGTTGGCTCTGTTGCAAAGAGTGGGTATAGGGATGGAGATAAACAGTGATGTAAAGAGAGAGGAGGTTGAGAGCTTGATTACAGAGTTGATGGGTGGAGGAGAGAAAGGGAAGGAGATGAAGAGAAAAGTGATGAAGTGGAAAAAGTGGTTAACTGTGTGCTTAAGTCTTCAAAGTAGTATTCAGCCAAAAAAAATGTCTTCAATGTAGTTCGTGAAGGAGATAAACAAACTTTTTAAAAAAAAAATTTGATTTTTGATTTTTTGTTCTTTGTTATTTCATATTATCATGTGAAATAATTTAATTATTGGAGGATCGGAGAAGAATTTGAATGCAATAATTGATTAATCAATATATATTTATAAAAATCATTTTGCTCGTACATATGAGGTAAGAAAAACTGAAAAATTAGCTTTGAAACTAGAATTTCAAATTAATTTGCTAAATGCAATATTAATCGTAGACATTCTTGAAATAAGGAAGCATAGTCTGATTGCAACTTAGTTGCAAATTTCCAGAAAGTTCATATTGCTCCGGGTAAAAAATATGAGAAAAGTTAGGAATCATGAAATTTTTTTCATGAAAATGATTATGAAAGAGTTATGATTCTTGGATTACCTTGATTTGTGTGTGGTGCTTTATTCTAAGTGTAATCTAAGGGTCATAAAACTTTCATGATTATTTTCATGAAAATTTTTTCATGATACCTAACATTGTTGAAAAAATATATATATGTTATTCTCATAAATTTAGCCAATAATCGGGACTAGTAAGCAGATCAAAGAAATAAAAAATAATCAATGTTGTGTCTTGCGTTAGAAAAATGGTTTTACAACTATAAAATAGCAATCGTTCACAACAAAACCACATAACAAGATTTGATCATTTTCTATAACCACCCTCGTCAACCAAATTAAACACCCATCTCATGCAGGCAACAATTTCTATCACTAATAACAAAGCTTGAACCCTATTTGATTTCATTTCCTTTGTTTTGTGGCCGGTGGTGGGGGAAACAAATTTTGGTGGTCCAAGAGCACCATTTGACATGCCTCTCATCAATCGCCAATCATCATGCCCCCTGTTATTTTCTCATAATTCAAAATAAAATCGTGAATTCCACATCTTTCATCAATCGTAACACTCTTGAAACATTACATGGCCATGCTGCTTAACCACCAAATAACTACTTGGTAGTAGGCCATGTTATTCTTGTTTAAGGGGCATTGCATTTCTCAAAGGGTTTGGCTTCTTTCGTGTTGAGATCTTACTTAAGAGAGTATTTGGATTTAGTAGACTCATTGTGAGCCAAATCTTGGTTATCTAAACTGTTAGCACTACAACAAAAAGCACTTTTGGGGACTAAAACTGCATTTTTCGTCGCTGAAAGTAGTAGAATTGGCGACTAAAATGAAATTAGTGGCCAAAATTGATCACTTTTGCCGACTAAAAGAGTTTAGTCGCCAAATATAAGGGTTTTAGCGACTAAAAGGCAGTTTAGTCGCGGAATGTAGGGGTTTTAGCGACTAAAGGTTGTTTAGTAGCCAAAAGTCACGGTTTTTGGCGACTAAAATGATTTAGTAGCCAAAAGTGATGGTTTTGGCGACTGAAAAACAGTTTCGTCGCCGATTATAGGTGTTTTGCCGACTAAAAACTGTTTGGTTGCTAAAAGTGAAGCTTTTTGGCTCCAAAAAAAAATTAGTAGCTAAAAACAGTCAATTGCCGACTAAAATTCAGTTTCGTAGCCAAAAGGGGACGTTTTTGGCGACTAAAAACAGGTTTAGTCGCCAAAACTGCTTATTTTTAGGCGGAACTTAATTTTTTAGCGACTAAATAATAGTTAGTAGCCGAAAATGATAGAATTGGCGACTAAAAATTTAATTTAGTCGCCAAAAGTGGCCTAAATTTTTTTTTAGTAAATAATTTATTTTTTACATAAATGATAGTGAATTAAAATAATTATTTTTATATATATTGTTTTGTATTAATACCGGTCAATATACTATACAAATAATATATATTGCATATGTATTCATGTGATGTTGTAGTAGCATAGTGGAGGGAGTGTGTTGCAAAAAGGTTTGGAATGTGGGACAGTTGGCGCGGTTCGAAACTCAGAAAAAGCAAAAAAAGTGGGTTTTTTTTTTCGACGGAAACACCTTTGGCGACTAAAATTATTAGTCGCCAAAAATCTTTATTTTGGCGACTAAGCTGTTTAGTCGGCGATTCAGTGAGTATTGGCGACTAAATTATTAGTCGGTAAATGTATGATTTTCAAAAGTGTAAAACACTATTGGCGACTAACACTTTGGTCGCTAAAGACCTGTATTTTGGCGACTAAAAAATTATTAGTTGCTAATACCTACGCCGACCACGTATACGCGACAAATGTGGCGACTAAAAAATTTTGTCGGGGAAAGTAAAATTTAGACTTTCGGCAACTAAAAACCGACTTTTGGCGACTAACAATTTAGTCGCCAAAAGTGTTGTTTCTTGTTGTGTAGCTTTTTATGACTTGTTGAGAAGAATATTTATGTAAAAAAATCAAGATTATTGCATTTCAATAACTATATATGTTTGAATCACATTTGACATAAATAAATTGACGGTAAATATAATTTCAAGAATACCTGTCCAATTTTAAAGACAAATGTGATTTAAACATATAGCTACTGAAATTCAATTATCTTAATTTTTTATATAAATATTTTTTTAACGATTTTAAAAAGTGAACAATTTGGATCATCGAAATTTAGCTCACAATGGGCCTACTAATCCCAAATACTCTCTCAAG